TTATTACAAAAAAATAATTGCAATGCAAGTTAATATATAAGCTTTATCATATAAAGGGTGCAAATCTAACCTCATCAAATCATTTTTCAGTTTTTGAATCTTGAATTTCTGATTAAAATTACTTGCAATATGTCGAAGGCAATACACATGATACACTTATGAAGGCTGCCAACCAAGGTGGACATTTTTGAATACTAATAAGATGCTTCAGAGCCAATTGGAACGAGACATATATTTGTTTTTGGGTAACATGCAAACAAATGCAAGCAAAAAAAAAGACCAAGCTTCAAATGTCTCACCCTCAACGCAAATATCAATGTCAATACTTCATTAGTTTCATCTTGTGTTGTCACAATCAATAATTGTTTTTTATACTTTCCATATAGGTAGGTGCAATCAATTTGAATGACTGGTTTACATAAATTAAATGCATTGCAACAATATTTGAATGTCCAAAACATGCAATGAAAAACTCGATGTCTAGGCACCACCTAGTGATTGTTGACAAATTATTTGTTTGGAGATGTAGACATAGTCCAGAGAGATACGAAACATGTAGTCACACTGTTGAGCCATATACATATAAGATTATTACCATTAGTTGTAGATTGTTGTGATGGCTTTCTACTTTATTTTCCAAACCTTCCTATAAGATACTTCAAAATCATAACGGGCAGTGATCGTTACTTGTATCAGCACTGGAACTAAAGGTTCTTCCTTTATCATGTCTATTATGTGAAATTACATCACATACATCAACATACACCCACATATATACGACCTATTTAACTTAAATAAATATTACATTAACCACAATCATATACCTAATGTGAGTGAAGCAATGACATTATAATCAAGCTGTTTGTGGCCTTGGTAAAGTTGTTAATTGAGATAATTTTGACCTCTACCCTAATTATTGATTGCCCTCTTCTATTTCATTGCCCTAACCATCCATGGGAAACTATTTCATGATTGCGACATTTCATTACCAACTTAGTCGTCATACTGTCAACCAATACTACTTCCTAATGAACCTTCATGTAATAACACTTGATTGCAATCTGCATGGCTTTCGTAGGCTCAAATTCTTGCTTAACGTATAATTCATCTCTCATTTTCCATGGAACACACAAGTGCCTCTCAAAACTTACCGCTCTCATCATTAAGGTGATCCCAATCGAAATACATGTAATGTGGAATACTTGTTCAAAATTGAGTAATAGTATTACGTACACATACACATATTCATATTATTTATAGAAATGAAATACATATAAAAATATTTATAAATGTAACATTTCATGAACTAAACTTCCATTTCATATTCATAAACTTGAGGAGGAAGGTTAACAGGGGGTGACATCTTTTATGGAATTTGATTACTACCCATTTTATGATTTTCATCATTGTCCAAAGCACTAGCATTCTCAACCTGAAGGGTGTCTTTGATTTCTTGATTTTCATCATCATCGTCATCATCTTCTTCCATCATCCAAATAAGGTCATCTTCATCTTCATCAGCTATGGTTTATGTGCCAATTGTTGGAGGTGCAAATGATGATACAATACATGGATTCCTATTAAGAGCCAGTGACCGAATTGGTTATGACAAATCCTCAACTATGGCAACGTCCACATACAACTTAACAAAATTTCTTTTGGACTGATCGATAAATGCATCAATCACCATATTCGAATCCTCGTCATAAAAAATCTCGTAGGGCAATGTATTGACAAGTTTGAGAGGAAGTTCTTACCATCAACTGAGAAACATATTGGCTATCCTAAAACCCCAATTATTGGTGAATTTTTCTAATTCAGTTCATCGATCGTTGTGTCGCGTTTAATATACATTATTCTTTTCTCAACATCGACCGTTATCCCGTTGCGACCTTCAAATTTTCTATCATTATAGTGGATAACTAAACCAACTGATTGCAAATTTAAACTCATTTTGATAGGAACAAAAAAAAAATTATGACTTTTTAGATAGAATTGAATGAAGGGAAGAGGGAAAGGGAGAAACTAAGTTTTTTATTCAAAGTATGAGGGGTGAGGGGGTTAAAATATGAGAAGGGGAGGGAGGTAGTCAAGATGGATGACCAGCATTGCAACACGTGGTAGCATCCAATTAGTTGCACACGTACCTAGTGGACAACTACTTGATTGATGCAACTGATGACCATGATGGTGTCACGTAGCAAAATCCAATTATTTGTGCATGCACTTGGTACACAACTAGTTACGTGTGCGGTACATGCACAACTTATTGAAGCTTGCTACGTGATGCAAATACAAGTAACACAACTAATTATGTGACATTAAATTGATGATTTTTTACTAATTATAATTAAATGATTTTTTTTTTGTGTTTTCCATGGCCTTTGTGATAATTTCAAAGTATGCATGTCTAGTCGCAATTATTGGCATGCAACCAAGATAAATAGGAGATTGGCGAACCAACTTCTTCAAGGCGCCAATGACACATGAACTGCTCATATTTATACACATACGTACACATGGATAGCTTGGAATTTGAATCTTTCTCTCTCCCTTATAATAATCGCATAATGCTCATATAGATTTAGCAACACAATAAATCTTACATATGTTACATATTCATTGTGTAAAACATAATTTAAAATTATAAATTATATATACTGTTGCGACTTGGCAAGTGCACCAGTCGTAAAGTAATAAAGTGTACCGGAGTACGATTTCGTTCCCACGAGGATCAAAATTTCAAGCACTAGTTCGCTAATCGCGTTTTAGTTGGACAAACAAGAATAAGATGAAGAGAATTGTATTTGGAAGAAATTAAAATTAGAAACAAGCAATAACATTCAATTAAAGAAAATTCAGAATTAAAAAAAAACAATTGAAAAAGATGATGATTGATTAAAAATGTAAAAACAAGCGTAGTTAAGGTTTCGACTTCCTCCAATTTCCTCAATATGTTATGAATTAAACAGTCGAGAATCTGGTTCTTAATATATTGCCAATCAATTCTTTTTAAGTTAATTACGGCTCAATTCCTTGTTACCATAAATCTATGTAATCTTGAAAGAACTCTAGTTCCCCGATTATTCCCCAAGAAAACATGCATTAAGATTAAGAATTCCAAGATTGCATAATTATCCTATGTCTATCCCTAGATCACAAGGATTATGATAAATTTATCAATTCAGGGCTCATGCACCAACATCCCTATTGTCATACAATTCCCCAAAATCATTCTATAAGGAGCAAACTCATAGAAAGCATTAAAGACAGATAAATTTATTCAATTATAAAAAGAAAAGAATTCAGAGACAATTTAATTCATAAACATAAAGATTCAATTGGGTTCCATCTACCCCTAACTACATAAAGATTTAGCCTAGCATACTGAATTCAAAAATAATAGTAAAGAAAAGAGAACCCCAAGCCTCCATTGGTGTGATGTTGACTTGGTTCCTCAGTGTTCCAGCGCTCCGCAACAGGATTCCTCCTTCAGGTCTCTATGTAATTCTCTGGACTTGTGAATTCGTCTATTGGTCTGACCCTCAGCTCCCTATTTATAACCATTGAAGCCACATCCTTCATTGAATCTCCCACCATATTCGTATCAGATTTGTAATTGATTTTATAATTGTTTCCTTTTGCGTTTAAGATCTTGTAGATTGGTGACAGATTTCAGACTTTGAATCTTGTTATAATCTTGCTTCAATCCTCCATGAATCTCTTAAAATCAGGTTTGATATGCTTCCGCTTTAATTCAAAATCTTGTCCTTATTGGAAAATCTTAGCAAATCTTAGTAAATCTTTGTTGTCTGGAACGTGCTATTGGGCGCTCAAGCGCGCTGTTGGCCGCTTGAGCGTGCTTAAGTGCCTGCAATTTGCTATTCTGCCTGCCCTCACGCGCTCGAGCGTGCTACTGAATGGCGCTCGAGCGTGCTCCTCGTGGATAAATTCTTGTCTTCTGGTGCGCTTGAGCGTGCATCTGTGCGCTTGAGCGTCCTGGATTGCTCATTTTGGTTGTTTTTTTCCTGCTTGCACGCGCTCGAGCGTCCTCTGGTGCGCTTGAGCGTGCTCTTATGGCCCTTGAATTGTAAGATTTTTGGCTTTCCTTGGTCCATATTAAGCCGCTACTTCTTCGTCATGATTTCTTTAGCACCAAATCTTTGTGGTTTTACCTTCAAAATGCAAATAACATCAAAACGTCAGCTCAATTTCCTATTTTATTACTTATATGTTGTAAAACCTTGAATTTCATGCATTCTACTACATAACTCTTGTATAATTTAGCCTAAAAACATGGTAAACCAAAGGTTTATCATATACTCATACGTATATTTTTAATATCATCTTTCTTTCTTTCTTTTAAAATATACTCATGCGCATATCTTTAATATCATTTATTTTTTGTTGGATTTCTAATTCGGTTCGAGTTCAAGTTGAATCCATATAAGTATGGGTCACTTTTTTTCTGTATTTTGACGACTCAAATTAAGACATGAACTTGAATCGATGATTGTCAGTTTCAATATCACCTTTCTTAATAGAAAGAAAAATAACCGAACTCCATTCACTTCAATTTACTGTCGAAAGCTACTCATTCTTTGTTGAAACCATATTTTAAGAAATGATTGCCAAAGATTTTTTAATTCAATGATCATTAATACACTGATGAAAATCTTGTAACGAATTAAATTATGGATACATCAACCAAACCTCTTACCGAATTTCATTAACTACTTTTTTCTACTTTCCACTTTGTTAGCTATGTTATGTCAGAAAGCCAAAGAAAAGACAAGGGAAATAAATGTGGAGCCGTTTCATCAGTTCTTCCACCTCTCAGATCCTTCCCTAAATGTTAGCAAGCTAGACAACTGCAAGAAGACTCATGTCACTGTCCTTTGTGCCCAATAAAGCTTTGTTTCAGGAAGCTCAAAGCACTAGAGAATGAAGAAGCACCAAGCACGAAAAAGAGAATTCTCACGCCAAAAATTTAATGCCCATTATGGTAGAGTTCCCCTTGGAGCAAACCTTCCATAATGACCCCTATCTTTGCCTTGTACACTTTGTCTCTGTCTTGTACCAGTTTGCAACCTCTTTTTGCAGTGATGGGTCGAGTCGCAAACAGAGAAAAAGTAGAGCAATATTGATGTCAAAACAATACCAAAAAGCTTCCCCCAAAACACCGTAAATAATAAGCTTATGAGAACCAAGTATATTCCATAGCACTCGAACTGCTTTTGCTTCTCTTGTGAGCCTCCACGGTTACCATCTCTCTGTTTTTCTCTGGTAGAGTAGTACATGGACACATTCTTTGATTGTGATACCTGTGAGCTTGAAGAAGATGAAGATGAACCATGTGATGATGAAGTTGACAAAGGCGATTGAGGGGTTTTGGTTTCTGTATATGACGAATAACTGTGCTTTGATCCAAAAGAATCATTGCTATGACGACTTTTATGGCGAGTTCTTCTATTCTGCAAGCCAAAGATATTCAAGTTAACTATCAAAAACCGTTCAGACATGGGTTCAGTTTGTGTACAAAAGAATAAGAATACATGGATTTAAGAGACTAACCAATATGGTATCGAACACAACAGCTTTAATCACCCGACAAATCGTTCGTTTTGGAGGGTGCTGCATGATCGAGCTATATGAAAACTTCGGGGACAAACGGTGAGAAAACACGGATTTGGAGGGTGAAATCTTCATCATTTCGTGTTTGTCTGAAACGGGGATGCATGGAAAACCACGATTAGTAGAGGTATGAGTAGCAACTTTGGACTCGAGCATGGTATCTATGTCAACCACAGGGCGAAAACAGAACAAGAACTTGTTCTTTGAAAAGCTCCTCATGATTTTGCTGGTTGAGTAACTCACGAGGAAAAAAACAGGTCTTGGTTGGAAATAATAATTGTGGGGTTTCAAGAGTCACGGATGAAGATATTTTTTGTGTCTAACTCCAAGCTAGCAATGGAGGATCACCATAAGAAGCTGGGTAACTCTGTTTTTGACTTGAAGATTTTGGGTGTAAGAAACAATGATGTTTTGCTCGATGGCTAGACAAGGAAGTGACTTGTGGGCATTATATAACGTTGGAGTGGTCATTGTTTTTTTTTCCTTCTTTTTTCCTTTGTCTTTTCTTCGGAGGGAAGAAAAAAGGAAGGTCCACTTTGGGGCACTGTGTGAGGGAAATGTTGAAGGATGTGACTTCTATATACTTTCTTTTGATAAAGAGGGCTGGGAAGAAAGAGAAAGGCTCTTTCATTGATTTTTAATTTTCCAATACCAAAAAGGAGACAGAGGGACAGAGCCTTTATGGATTGAGAATATGGAACTGTAAATATTAAGGGAAAATATTTTCTGATGTCACAGGATAATTGTTTTCTTCTACTAGTGACTCTTCGATTTGTGTGTAATATTTTCTTTTGCTTTTTTAATTTTTTAATAAATGTGGACCTCATATAAGATGTGTCTACAACATGAGAAAATTTTCTCCTACCACATGAGAAAATCGAAACCCAAATATTAAATCCAAATGAAGGGTTTTGCGTGGTCTTGTATTAAGGTTTGTACTGTAAATTTGAAGGTATGCATATTTTGCCCCCTTTTTGTCCGTAGATATCTTCTAGCCAAAAATTAATTCTTTCGAGATTCAAGATTATATTAAGTGTGTAAATCTCTTTCAATAAAGTTTTTTTTATATGTATGGTTAAAGATCGGGCTCTTGTCAGCATACTTAAGGAATCCACTTATCTATCTACTATGTTGGGTTTTGATGGTTATTTTGCCCAATTTATCATGGTCTAATTTGGATTCGGATTGAGATTATGATAGAAAACCAATTAATTTTCATAGATATAAAATGCCTGTGTCATTAAAACCAAACCGATGCTCAGCCAAGGGGATTCACAAAAATGTTCTTTAAAGGCGTTTGGTAGAGAAAGTTAGGCGGTGTATTGGATTTGAGATTTTAATGGATTATTTTTGGACAAAATTTTTTACCGGTATTCAATTAGGATTTTAAAGAATTGGAAAAAGTTATGTGGTATTCAATTAGGATTTTAAAAAATTATTTTAAAGTTCATCCAAACCCGGTGGTATTCAATATAGATTTTAAATAAAGGAAAAACAATCTTGTGGTATTTTCAAATCTGACGATTTTATTGTATTTTCTATAGTGTGGATTTCGCGAGATTTTTTAGTGAGAAATATAAATAGGATGCATCTCTCACCGTCTCACCCTAACCCATAGGATTTCTTGTGATTTCTCTATTTCAGTGTTTTCTTTTTTCTTTGGCTAGTCGACCCGCTCGAAATCAAGTTCCACTATGGGAGCTTCGTCAAAGCTAAAAAATAGTAGATTTTTGAACGATTTTCATCACAAAACAACCCAGAAACAACATAACAAGATTCTAATAAAATCCATCTCAAAACAACAGATTTTTGAGAGCTTTTGTAAGTTTAAAAAATGATTTTTCAAGCTATGGATTGCGATTTTTCTTGGCCCAAAATGGTGTGGTTTTTGTATTAAAATCAACATAAAAAGTGAAAAACAACATGGGAACAAAAATCTTCAAATTAATTTTCATTTTATATCAATGAAACAAGATCGGTTTATAGAAAAATTGAAACTTTCATTATATAAACCCTATGTTTCGTAACAATACATTCATGAACGAAATTCTTTCGCTATAGGAAATGATTTCTAACAATTTTTGCATCAATAGATCATAAAAAAAATTATTTTTCAAAAGCTTCAAAGCAATTTAAGGTTTCAATGTATCGATTGAAAATAATTTGAGAATTTTTCTAAACTTTCATGTAATAAAATTCAGAAATTCAGATTTGAAATTTTCTTAGAATACTCAATGAAAACATGCATATGATATATGGTTAGAAAACTCCTATCACGTAGAACAAAAACTCTGATGTTTCCAAGATCAATTGCAAAAAATTCCAAACGAAATTTTATCATTAACTTTAGGTTCTATATGCAAATTTTGAATTATTTTAATAAATAAATAAAAAATTATAGGTCGTATAATCATATGTGCATAACTCTGATGAAGAAGATAATTTTCATCCCATTGGTTAAACCCAAGAGCAGAAACGAGAAAATGTTGATGCATGGAGGGTTAATATAAATATGTGGAGAGCTGCTACTTAATGAGACATCAAGTTACTCAAATTACTAATTGAGAAAATTACATTAGGTTATAATTTTTTTATTAATACCATTGCATTTTTTTTATTGACTCTTGTAATTTTGAATGTTTGTTAAACATTCATATGATTTTTTAAAATCTTATAAATCCATATTGTCCTTTCAAATCTTATAAACTCTATTAAAATCCAATCTTATAAAATCTTTATTGTAAAAAAAGTCTTTAAAGTCACTACAATTCTCGATAGTCTTTTAAATTCTATAAGATTTTTTTTATCTCAAAATAGTCTTTAAAAATCCTAATCAAATACACCCCCTTAATTTTTCGAAAATGTGACCAAAAAGCTATTTGGTAGTTCAAAATATTACCAAGAATGTTAGATCAAGTTTCGTGCTATGTTTGGTTGATTGTCAAATATTACTGGGAATGTGGGATAATTTTACAAAAATAACCCCACTTTTTAGTCTTTTCTTCAAGCATTATTTATTGGAAATAACCCCACCTTTGTTAGGACAAGTTGGTCCCTCAAAGTCAGCGCGGAAGATTTCGCAAGTCGGCACTTCGAGCTCGAAGCTCGACAATCACAAGTCGACTTGTAGTCACAGGTCGCCCTTGCGCAGCGAAAATAAAAAACGCAAAAGAGAGAGATAGAGAAGAACACAATCAATTTTAACGCGAAAATCCTACTTCAGTGTGAAGAACTAAAAATCATGGGACACTAGTCCAGAAAATCTGTCACTATGTCAAAAGAAATATTACAAAGAGTCAAGCTTTCCTAGTCTTTCATTAGAGGTACAATCAAGAATCACCAACAATGGTGGTTTTCTCAAATTTCTCTAAAGAGGTCTTACTCAAACTTCTCTCTAGAGGTATTCACTTAGATAACCAATTACAAATAAATTTAAATGGTTTATATAAGGTGAGGGAACCCTCCACTTTCTTCTAGAATCTTCCATAGTGATTAAGGTGGTTGAGTTGGTTGGGCTACCTTGAGCCATGCACCAATTACTGAGGTGCATGCCAGCATTAATGAAGGAACCACCCCAACAAATCTTCCCCTTCAAACTTTAATGCATCGTGTTCTGCAGCATCCTGACACCTTCACAGCAATCTTCGAATTTCCTTGCTAGTACCAGCTTAATCATTAAGTCGGACCAATTCAGGTCGATATGCACTTTGGCGAGTTCGAATTGTCCATCCTCCACCACATCTTAGATCCAGTGATACCTCACATTTCAGCTCGTACTTGTCTTGATCATGGCCGAGTTCAGAGAGAAACTTCTTCATCCACAATAATTATTTGCAAGCCTCGGTCGCAGCTAGCTACTCGGCCTCAGTCGTCAAAAATGCCACACATTTCTGTAATTTTGATTGCCAGGAAACAACTCCTCCTACAAAAGTCATTACATATCTAGTCGTCAACTTCTTCGAGTTGACATCTCCCCATAAATCAGCACTTGTGTAGCCTTGCAACTAGGCCTTTCCTTCTCTTAAGCAGATGCATAGATTAGTTATTCCTCCGAGATACTTGAAAATCCACTTCACTGCTTTCCAATATTCTTTGTCGGGGTTAGACAGATATCGGCTTACTATTGCAACAGCATACGCCAAGTCGAGTCTCGTACAAACTATCGCATACATTAAACTTACAACTACAGACTGATGCGGGATCTTTAGCATCTCGTCTTTGGCTTTATCAGATCTCGGATATTGCTTTTGACTTAGCTTCATATGTTCGGCTAAGGGGTGCTAACTGTCTTGGCTTTGTCTATGCTAAATCTCTTCAGAATCCTCTCAATATATTGTTCTTGACTAAGCTATAGTAACTTTCTATGTCGGTCTCTTATTATCTTTATTTTTATAATCTGCTTTGCAGGGCCGAGGTCCTTTATTGCGAAGGACGAGCTCAACGCCTTCTTTAGGGCGATATATCGACTTATCTTGCCCTACAATAAGCATGGTGGTCGACCTCGGTCTTCATGAACTTGTGCTTAGTCATAAAGGATTCAAACTTCTTGTACCACTGCTGAGGTGCTTGTTTTAAGCTGTATAGGCTCTTCTTCAAATGATAAATCAGTTCTTCTTTAAATGGGGCTCGGAATCCTTTAGATTGCTCCATATAAATTTATTTTTTAAGGTCATCGTGAAGGAATGCGGTCTTCATGTCCATTTGTTCCACTTCGAGGTCCATTGATGCTGCCATGATTAATACAATTCGAACTTAAGTCATCTTCATAACAGGGAAAAATATTTCTTCATAATCAGCTCCCTTCTTTTGGTTACAATCTTTCACTACAATTCAGGCTTTGTATCTCGATTTTTGGTTGTTCTCCTCATGTTTGATTTTCGTGCAAGGACTTCTTCTCATCCTGCATTGCTTTCTCCCATTCATTCTTGTCTGAGCTCGTCATGGGCTCATCATAACTTTGAGATTCACCATCTTCAGCAATAAATGTATATTATTCAGAAGGATATCTTGTGGAAGGTCGTCTCACTTGAGTATAGTGTCTGAGTTATTCTTTAGGTTGAGAGTCCGACTCAACATTCTCATCTCATACCTCAAGATCTCGATTTTCAGCATCAACTTCAACAGTTGGCTCTTCTTGTTGCTGGTCATTTACTTTATTTTCATGATTTGTTTCTCCCCGTACATCAGTTCGAAGAAAAGAAACGAGTTCATCACTTCGG